TTTATGATTTCCAAGTCAAGTCAGAGCTAAGTACAGGAAAAGGTGGGCATGGTATTGAGGAACATTTTCTTTGTGATAAAAGGTTACGGGAACAAAAAAAAAACAAAAAACAACAACAAAAAAAAAAAAAGCTGCTACAAAACATCCTTGTGTTATTTTGTCTGCACTATTTCTGTCTACCAGTGCAAGGATTTCAAGTAAGAAAAATGTTTGATTTTCATGTGACATCGATTTAGTGTGCTGTTATTTAGATTCAGATGTTGGCTAGCGTTTAGTATCCACTCAGATTAGTAGCCAAAGAGGTGGGGTCTAGCTCGGTGCTTATGCAATTGCAGGCCTATTTTCAGCATTGACTCACTCAATATGGAATGCCCTAGATATTAAATGCAAAAGCCCACAGGGATACAGAGAATTACATTAAGCACACCTCGCGACGTGAACGGGCGGAATGTGTTTCATGACCTTGCAACCAGGGCACTTTTCATCCCTGTGCGTGTGTGTGTGTGTGTGTGTGCGCGCCGTGGCAATCCCAATACTCCCTCCAGCAAGAGAGGGTAGAGTAGAGGGGGATGGGGCTTTGGTAGATGTGCTTGTGGGGGAATGGATCTGCATTTTTCTGCTCACATGCTCTAATCTGGAGTCTTTAGCACACATCCAGCTTAAGGCCGGCAGGAGAGTAGAGGTGGAGAGGATAAGGGGAGGGGGAGGAGGTCTTATGGTTTAGCTCATAGAGGTTCCCATTAAGCATGACTTCAGTCTAAAGAAGTAAAGGGGATTCTGTGTTTTCCTTGTATGTTGTTTATGACAGGTCTACTTACTACATTTGTGGGGGTTTATGTATCAAAAACAACAGTCATATTTCATTTTTACATGACCCCTTTCCAACCTCAAACTATTTTTTATTACTATTTTTGTCACTGTTTTTAAGATATTTGTAAATGAGCTCTGTTCTAGTTGGCTGCCCTGGATTGTGTCTTGTTCAAAAAGCAGACCTGACTGAAACCTCCAGATAACTTCAACATGAATGGAGAGGACTAAACTGTATATCGCTGCTGTGGGAACAAAATGTTGTATCTCCAGTTTTTTTTTTTGTTTTTTTTTTCTTCCCAGTTTTTGACATAATTTGAAAATGCCCGTTGCCCTTTACGTTATACTCATAAATTCCATGATGAATAAACCAAAAGAAACAGCCCAAAATTACTTCCATTGACTTACATTAAAAGTAAAGTAGGTTTTTTCCTTCTGCTGTAAAGTTACCATTTAGAGGTTTTGTTCCAACAGCAGAGATATATAAGCTAAATATAAGTGTAAGTGTGCGTAGTATCTTTTTGTATATAAAAATGTTTTCATTTAATTTGGCTTCTCTGATTTTTCTTCAGTATTTAACATTTAGCTACCCAACAATCATTTTGGGTAACAATCATTCTAAATCTAATAGATCCTTCAGATTTTTCCCCCAAAATGCTGAAATGCCAAATGTACTGTTGGCTGGTCAAATCTGCACATTGGGCTTTATATTTTTCTCTACTTTAAATGTTGGAAACACTTTTGAAGTAAATTAACCCATATTTTCTTCGTCACGTAGATTTATGCCACGTCATCTTGATCCCTGAAGCTAAACAGAAGCTTTCTTTGCTGTTCGAGTGTCAACTTTTTAGCACCATATGCACTTTGGGGTAGTCTGATGCTATTAAAGTATTATGCTATATGTGTGGTTGGTATAGTGCAGTGGTTAACACCTCTACCTTCTATGCTGTAGGCTGGGGTTAAATCCCCTGCCTGGGTAAGCACTCTACACTATAACAATAAGACTCCTAACACAACCTTTGCCTACCTGTATTAAATGATCAGATTTTAAGTCGCTCTGGATAAACGCATCTGCCAAATGCAGTACATTTATTCTATATTGATAAAATCTGAAACTTTTGTAATTTAATATTTATCTGTATTATATGATCATCCAGAATTAGTTTATTAACTAGTTTAGTTGGTGTTGCACTTATAATCTGGTTAGATTGACTGTATAAACATATTTATATGAATGATTTAGCGAGACAGAAGAAAAGGTATTGTTAAACTGTAGGGAACTTGGTTTGGTTAGCACTTTGTGTTAGCTAGAGTAAGTCAAACACGGTCATAGTTAAAGCTATCCACAAACCACTGAGTTCACAAACCCATTTCTATAAAATCCCAGTCTCCTCGACTTGTTTGTTCTGAATTGTGGCTGCTGGTTCTTGTGATGGTGCACTTGAACTGTACAGACCAGTCCACTTCACAGTTTACCAAACTAATTTGCTCAAACTTAGTAGTTTCAAACTTAGTTGTTAATTTTTCTACATTTTTATAAGTCATCAGTGCTTTATTTAAGAATCATGACATCGGTATATCTGCAGTGTGAACTGGCCTCCTCTGTTGTGACACAAGTGCATGAAGGATTAATGAAACTCTGCACAGCAAGCATGGCCTCACCACTTCATGTCTGGCCTGGCACAGTGCTGGACTGAGAGTTAGCGTGTGGCCAAAGTGCTGTGCTTTCCGTTAAGCAGCCTGCCCATATTCTCCCTCGTAGATAAACAGTAGGCTTTCATGGTTTCCCTGAATTGCACTTAACAAGATAAAGAGAACATTTGGGGGGGAGTCTGTGTGCACAAGTCTGTTTGAACGTGCGAATAATCACTTCATTGGCAGCGTTCCTAAAAGAACTAGCTGCGTTTAAGGGCTACATTAACTACTGTGCTCCTCTAAGGCATTTTAACCCAGTAGCAGAGCATGAAAACTTCAGACAATGCATTTTAATTCTGTGCATTAAAATTAAGTGCAATCTGACTCTCGTATAACAGAAATTTATGACTCTCATGTAACAGAAACTTGGTTTTTGCTTCAAATGCTTGAACACAGTGGGGTAGAACTACTCTAGCTATTGTGCTAATTAGCAAGTTAGCGACTCATGCTGCTGTTCCCCCCTCTGGAGATGTGTGTGATAGAAATCACAGCTACCAGTTCTTCCTGTGTGTCTCATTATGAGTTTGGAAAGTGCCAGATGTACAGTGCCAGTCAGAAGTTTGGATGCACATCTCTATAGGGGTTTTCAGTATTGTTTACTATTTTAGGATAATAATAAATATAGCATCATTAGTGTCTTACTATTACTTTACTATATTAAACCGAGACCCAAACCACACATCTGCAGTAGGTGACGTGGGTTAGAATTCACCAGTTCACCTAGAACTGCTAAACAAGTCTTTAACCCCTTAAGGCTAAAGAAAAATTATGTATTTCTTCCGTTTAACCTGCTCTTCTGTGTTAATTGTGGTTTGAAATCTGAAAATCTGAGTTTTTTAATTAGTTTGCATCACAAACTGCCTTTTTGAGCAAGAGAACACATGAATAGGAATATGAGTCGCACATCAGTCCCACATAATTTACTTTGTCATTACTCTGATTAACCAAAACAATTATAAGAGCTTAATGGACTCTGAATTACACTCTGAATGAACTCACACAAAAAAGAACATGATGCATCCAACAAGCAAATTCAGTGATAAAAAACCCAGTAGCACACAGAAAGGTCCGGCTCTACATGCTGAACTTTGTGAAATGATTTTACGGTTGCATACACTATATGGACAAAAGTATTGGGACACCAACACATTACACCTACAGGAGCTTTTATGACATCTCATTCTAAATCCATAGGCATTAATAGGCAATTGGTCCCCCCTTTGCAGCTATAACAGCTTCCACTCTTCTGGGAAGCTTTCTACAAGATTTTGGAGTGTGTCTCTGGGTATTTTTGCCCATTCATCCAGAAAAGCATTTGTGAGGTCAGATACTGATGTTGGTGGAGAGGGTCTGCCTCACAGTCTCCGTTCTAGTTCATCCCAAAATTGTTTGATGGGGTTGAGGTCAGGGCTCTGTGTGGGCCAGTCAAGTTCTTCCACACCAAACTCACCCAACTACACCTTTATGGACCTTGCTTTGTGCACTCGGGCTCAGTCCTGAAACAGAAAAGGGCCTTCCCCAAACTGTTACCACAAAGTTGGAAGCATACAGTTGTCCAAAATGTCTTTGTCTACTGAAGCATTAAAATTTCCCTTCACTGGAACTAAGGGGTCTAGGCCAATCCCCCAAACAACAATCATGTAGCATTATCTCTCCTCCACCAAACATTTGGCACAATACAGTGCAGTCAGTCAAATAACGTTCTCCTGGCTGCCAGATAGAGAAGCGTGATTTGTCACTCCACAGAATACATATCCCCTGCTCCAGAGTCCAGAGGCGGCATGCTTCATACCACTCCACCCCCTCCACACACTTGGCAATGTGCAGTTAGGTCTTAGGCTTGTGTGTAGCTGCTTGGCCATGGAAATCCTTTTTGTGAAGCTCCTTATGCTCCTAAGTCTTTTGTTGATGCTGCTTCCAGAAGTAATTTGGAGCTCTTTAGTGAGTGATTCAACAGAGGATAGGCACTGTACACTTCAGCGACCCAAGTCTGTGAGTTTGCATGGTCTACCGTTTGGTGGCTAAGCTGTTGCGGCTCTTAGACGCTTCCTTTTCAAAATAAAAGAACGTACAGTTGACAGGGGCAGATCTAGCACTACAGAAACTGCACAAACTGACTTGTGGTGTGACTTGAGGTGGCAACCCAAGACAGTGCCATGTTTAAAGTCACTGAGCTCATCAGTACGACTCATTCCACTGCCAGTGTTTGTCTATTGAGACTGCAAGGCTATGTGCTTTATTTTATCCACCTGTCAGCAATGGGTATGACTGAAACACCTGAACTCAATAATTAAAAGGGGTGTCCCAATACTTTTGTCCATATAGTGTACAAGGGCGCACATCTCCTCTGGCAGCAGATTGCTGATAATGTTAGATACAGGAAAAGATTATAATTTACTGTTTTATAAACGTCCATGATTATTTGACTCATCACAATCGTGCCTGTAAACTAGCATCAGTAATTGAATCATTTTACTTCCTTCTCTCTTTGTCTCTAGCAACATCAAACCCATTCACCCAGAAGCCACCCTTGTTCAATACCCTCCTCTACTCCCTTGTGCCGATCATGGGCGTCGCCGCCATCGTCCTGCTCTCCTTCTGGATGTACCGCCATCACAAGCTGGCGTATCCGCCCGTTCTGGTGCCCACACAGGTAGGTCGAATGCACACATTTTGCTGGTATAAGAGACGTTTTTGGTTAAAGTTATCTCTCAGTGTTGGGTAAATGATGGAAAAATACAGAAAGTGCTTCTGTTTTTCGTGTGTTAAGTGTCATTTTTGTCTTGTCCCTAGTTACAGAATGTATATGGTTGTTGTTGCTTGTATTTCACGTGCAAATTCGTGTGCATATATATCCGTGAATGTGTCTGTGCGTGCGACGTGCATCCTCTCTATTTACCTGCACAGTCATCTTCTTGTCAAGACTCTGAAAATCTAGGGGTTGGGGAAATTTTTATTTTCCCCCTAGGCAGCACCTCTTGTTGCCGTGAGTGACAGTTACTTTACTGATCTAATGTGCTCAGTGTCACACTTGCTAGTGCTCAACCACACTTGTCTGTCAGCCGGAATCGCACGAGGCAGCCCCACAAGAGCAACATGAAAGCATTCGGGAAACGGTTTGCCCCGCCGCGTGCAGGATTGATTATTTATTTATTTATTTTTGCAACCCGCACAGGATGGATATACAGTGCAGAGCCGCAAGGTTTCTGTCTGATCTGCAGCCCATTGAAAGACGAAAGATGGTTAGCAGTTCTCTGCAAATGAAATACGATGTCTGATCGCTAACGTCGTTATCGTAGTCTCCCTTGGAAGCATTTGAACAGTATCTAGTTCCACCATTTCGGCTCCACTAATCAGATTTTTAAACACATTTCCCTTTCCATTCAGTCGTGCAACTCTGGAGTTAATATGCCGTTTGCTATGAGCTTAATGAGAGTCAATTAATCTAACCCTCAGATGCTAAGAAGATGATAAAAATCTTGCCTTAGCTTTGATTTATAGTCAGTAATGGAACAGCGCTTATGGCAACCAGTAAGTGTTTTGAGTGGAAATTCCCTTTCTGCATTAATAATTTTTTTTGGTCAACCAAAAAAAAAGTTCCCTCTGATATCACCTGCTATATGTCTGAACTTGTCCCTCATATGCTGGAAGGGGTTTAAAAGCCTTTTTTGAAAAGCCTAGGTTCTGAAACACTCATACAGCTTCAAGCAAGTTGCAAAGGTTTAGGTTCGTGTCATGTATTACTCTGCAGGCGGCATCGGTAGGCCGCCCGATTTTGTTTCATAACACGTTGACAGGAAGCATAACATTTGGTCTTACAAGTGACATTCTCCTGCTTTCTAATATCTCTTTGGCAACCGGATGGAAACGCTCGCTACTGAATAAGTAGGTCAGTTTTTAAAGGTGTCACTCACTGCTCTGTGCCTCGTGAAAATGTGTCTGAACGTTGGCCAAAGAGCTTCAGTGCTCACACATTTTCAAAGCAACACTTTGCTTTTCGAAGATTTGTTTTTTTTTTGCTTTTTCCTGGCCCGCATCCGATTCTCAAAAATAAATAAATAAAAATTCATCTTGTTTTCCTTCCTCGCCTGCCGTTCCCAGAGGAGCTCTTATGAAAGTTTGGTTGCTTCATTTGTAATCGCACCTCCTCTCTCATGTCGAGCTGGAGATTGGAACTGTATGAGCGGCGTGGAACAGTGCAGCATGCCCTGACCTGGATTTGACTTTAGCTGTTTATTTCCATTTGCTGTTGTGGCTGAGTGCTGGGATGCACCTGTTCTTACCCCCCAACAGCCTTCCAGCTCTGCGGTCTATCATTCACTCACTTGCTCTTCCTTTTCAATACATCTCCGTCTTGACCCCTGGGTCTTGTGGAAATTGTCTTACATCTCATTCATATTCTGTTCCAAGAAGTAAGACCTGCATTATAAATCCAACTGTTTATATTTTAAACATATTTCTTAAATGAGTCACAGGGTTTAGTCCCCATCTTCGGAAAGGTTTGACTGCAACATCAAATAAACATTGGCGTTAAGGAAGAGAGCACTTATTTTCAAAATGATTAGGTGGTGTTTAGGTTTTAAACACTGGTGCTGATTTGCTGTTGCAGTCAAGCTTTCCAAAGTTTGTTCCGCAGTAGAGGAGTGGCTCAGCTAAAAAACTGTGATGCGTTAAGAAAGCGTTACAGAAAAGTAAACATTTGGGTTTGTAGTATGGGTGGGTCAAAGCCTCCTTTTTTTTAACAGCTAATACTGTTTCCTTTTTTTACATTTCATGTCAGTGTTCGGTCGCTCCATTTTGAAGCCTCTAGCAAAAAATCTGTCAGTGCTCCTTCTGTCAACAATTCCCTCTTGAGGTCAGGTTATGTTGACTTGTTTTTGTCAACAGATTGTAGAATTTGCATTGTGCAACACCATTTGGGCAAACATGTTGCATTTTATGAATTCTGAGGCCACATTGTAACCCACTGTCAGCATTTATGACCCATTTTTTTATTAGCCTACTGGGTTGATCATTGTGCTGGAACATTGAGGAAGCCTTGCATTAATTGGAAGTTGCATCCTTCAGAGATACAGAGATAATTTTGTCAGTTCAACAGGATTCAGCTGTTTCACTTTGTGTTTTGTGCTATGCTGGAATTATTTCATCCAGTGCATGGCCTTGTATCATTTTGGAAATAAAAACATCTTATTTAACAGGATTCTTAACAGCAACCTTTAGAAAAAGAGAACTTTAAAGGAAGATGGATCCAAATTAGCAAAGTTGGAGAGAGAGGGTAAAGGAGAAAGAGGGAGCGAGGGACAGCATCACACTGTAACTTTGTTTACTGTTTGGCTTCACTGCAAAAGACAGGAGTTCCTAGTTGTAAACTCTCTGGGCCTTTCATGGAAGTTAAATCCACTCATGCAGTTGCACATCGTCTCTGAACCAGACGTGACCTAAGCTGTTTAAGGGCTTAAGGTCAGCACTGTTAGTCAAGTGCCAGTCCCAATAAGTTAGCATCGCTTCATTTTTATTTTGGAAGCTTCCTATAAAATTTGTCCATCGTTGAGCATGCTGCTCTTATGTAACTCCATGCATCCCATGTTTGTATATTCGAATTTTTATCCTCCTAACACCAACGCTACCACCTGAAAAACAAGCCCCCTACAGCCCTTCAGTGATTTTGGCATATTTTTGTTTGTTTTTGTTTTAGTTTTTTCCTTCTTTGCAGTTAATTTAATTAGTTTATTAACTACAACATTCAATCAACATCAACATTCCTAGTCTAAATTATTGTCTGTGCTAAGCAGCTGTACGCTACAAGTGGTAGATTGAGACGAGACTGTAAAACACTCCAGTCATCCTGCAAAGAACCATTCATTGATATGTTCTTTAAGAAACCAAAGGTGGTTCTCCTGTGTCAGGGGTCGGCAGCCCAAATGTTAAGAAGAGCCATTTTTTCCTTTGATCAAAAATCAAACCACCTTGAGAGCCACAACATTTTATGCCCATTTTACATCTTGGCTGTAAATATGTTTCAGTATGTGCTAATGTGCTAGTATAGGCGAAAAATACACAATATAAATGAAAACACAGATTTACGTTGCTCTGCTTTAAGCTGTAGCCCTGCGATGGACTGGCAACCTGTCCAGGGTGTATCCTGCCTTCCGCCCAGTGACAGCTGGGATAGGCTCCAGCACCCCACCGCAACCCAGAAGGATAAGCGGTTTAGATGATGTATGTATGTATGCTTTAAGCTGTAGCTCAGCTATAGCCATTTTTCTCACATCTCCGGGAGAAAACTTTTCTGTAAAAGTAAACCAGTTTCTTGTAAAATGTCTCTCAAAGTTCGAGTTCTTATGAGACAAAGTCAGCTTCTCATCCGCCAGCTTTTTGTTCAAATTTTTCCATTCCACTTTAAACGGTGCCTGAGGCGGCAGAATGTAACTGCGGCACCATTTAAGGTGGAACGGGAAAGTTCTAACGAGACTTCAGCTTCGCGACTTTTTAGTGTTTGACAGTTTCTCGTTGCAGATTAAATGTATCAGGAAGCGAGCTGCGTGCTTAGAAATACAAATAAGTCCATTCATCTCCAGATTATCAATGTTTGTTTTAAATCTCTCTCTCTTCCTTTTTGTTAGCTGCTAGTTAGGCACGATTGTTCTCTGTGTTGCTATGTGACCAGCAGTCTGCGCACCAATCTTCAGGGTTAAGGTTGGTGAATTAGCAGATACGCATTAACTCCAGTGTTTAAGACCAGTTATTGTTAAAACGGTGTTAGAACTATTAGCAACGCTTTGTCTTACTGCAAATAGGGCTTATTTTATTTTTACCTAAGAATCTTAGTTCTGCTGTGGAGCCACATGCAGCTCTGGAGCCGCATGTTCCCGACCCTTGATCTATGTCATTGCCCCAGAGATCCCTGTTGGCACTTTTAAGTCTATTTGGTGGGTGCATCGTAAAGCTAGGTTTGACTCATTCCTTCCTCATTCCGTGAATTGTTTTGGCCAAATATGTACATTAATTGTGTCAGACTTCCCAGTTTTCCCTTTTCTCTCCCTCTCCATTTTATTACCTGTTGTTATATCCCAGGTAATGCCTGCACATGTCTGAGAAGAGAACAGTTTTTCTTTCCTCCGTGCTTTGACATAGGAAGTTAGTGAAGTGGACACTTTCTCAGCGGTTGTGAAACATTCTGCGAGTTACTGGCAGCTACTGAAATGTTTACTGTCAGATTGTCATCTTGCATGCTCAGACTAAACACTGCAGACAGGTCCATTATAAATGCTGTGCTCAGACGGCCTTGATGAAAATGAAGAAAAATGCTGTAAATAAATAAACGGCGATATTTTTCTGCACGACCATTTGGGAGGTTTATGTTCCTGTGCTTTCTGTGCACTGTGCACTCTTTTTATGCAGTAATTTTTTTACTCCCACAAAGTAGACGTCAAAATGATTGGCACAAAATCCTTTTAAATCAAACCAAATAATATTGGCTTATTTAGGATTTTTAACTGTATTGCAGTTTTTAATACGTATGTTAGAGTAGAGGTGCCCAATTCTAGTCCTGGAGATCTATCACCTGACTAGTCGCCTGACTAATCTAGCACTCCTAATCGAGACAGTAAAGGCCTTTAAGGGCCTATTAGAGCCAGATGTGTTGTATCTGAA